ATTTAACTGGGTAAAAATAATGCATGAAAGTTGTAAATAAAAGTATATATAAGTGGTATACTATATAATTAGTTGTATAAAATTTATTTTTAGTTTATATGTTGTTGTAGATGTATCAACTTGTTTGATTTGGGTGATGTCTATCGTCACTGTCTGAATTGCTTTGGTTTGGCGTTACTTTATGGTTCAAGCTATTAAAACACTTTTATAAGATTTGGTTCTCAATTAAGTTTTGAACTAATTTACGCCACCGTGGTTCGACATTATCGGAATTGTCATACTACAGTTAAGGCACTATTGGAAAGAAGTGAGGAGATGAGAGGAAAAAAAAAAATGGTGTTAAGGCACTAATAATGGATTGTATATGGTGAGAGACGACAAATAATAGGGAAAAGAGAAGAGGAGAGAAAAAAAAAGGGTATAACTGAATTCCCTAATTTAAGGTACTAATAATTGATTGTATATTATTTGTAAGCAATCCTTATTTAGGGCGTATACTACACAAAATTAGAATAATTTTGGTAAATAAATTTCAAATATAAGAACGAAAAAATTGGTTTTGGTTTCAAGACCGTATCCGTGGCCCGTGGGCCCGTCTGAACAAGAGTCCTCTCTTTTTCGGATTTGTGTTAGTTTGGCTCTCTTAAACGAAACAAAAATTTCATTTTTTTTTTGGTCAAACAAATGAGTATCTTAACGGATTTTCAAAAAACTTCAACAAAAGAGAAGGCAATTTTAGAAAATATTTTGAAAAAAATTTCTCAAAAGCATATTCCACGTAAACTTTTGCGCTGCTTGAAAAAGAAAAAGAAACATTTTTGTTAATTGTCCTATGTGGTCCTCTTTATGCTTAATGATTTCATTAATAAATCGGCTCCCCCCCCCCCCCCCCCTAAAAAAAATGGGAATGAACTAATGTAAGTTTTTGCTTCTTTTAGGTACACGTTTGATTGTTATGTTATATCAGTAGCCATTATTATAATTCTACAACGTAGTTCAATTGTCAAGGTGCTGCCTCCTTGATGTTATGATTAATAATACAGCCACGACCTTTTTAATTAAACAACACCGGTCTCAATCATCATATGTAAATGTGTCTTTATGGACAAATTATTAAAGGCGTAACAAATCATCCGAAACAAACTGAGGCTATTGTATATATTGAGATTGTTATATTGAACGGAGGATGAAGCTCGCACGAGAGCTTCAATGGTGATTTTAGAATATTCCAAGGAAGAGAAAATATTTGGGAGGAGAGCAGGTGCAATGAAATTGTAAAATATGTCTCTCATTTATTCTCCATTATTACAATGTGTATATATATGTACAAGTGTTGCAGCTGGAAGTAAAAACAATGTAAAAGTAAAGTTGTTGACTTAGCATATTACAATTAACTTAACTAACTAACAATAACAAAAATGCTTATGTAACTAAACATATTTCAATACCCCCCTCAAGTTGGATGGGAGGATCTCACAACCAACTTGCCGAGTACAGCATGGTGTTTAACTCCTGTGAGTGCTTTGGTAAGAATGTCAGCTAATTGGTCAGTAGTGGCTACATGTTGAAGAGAGATCAAGCCTTCTTGAAGTTTGTTCCTTACAAAATGGCAGTCGACCTCAATGTGTTTTGTCCGTTCATGAAAAATAGGATTGTGAGCAATGTAAATAGCAGATTGGCTGTCGCAAAAGACAGTATTGGGACTGGACTGTGGGATAGTAAACTCTTCAAACAACTTGTTTAACCATACCAGTTCTCCAACCACTTTCCTGAGGGACCTGTACTTAGCTTCAGCTGAGGACAAGGAAATGGTTTCTTGTTTCTTTGATTTCCAACTAATGGGACTGTCTCCAACCAAAACAATATCGCCAATGACAGATTTTCTAGAGCCAGGGCATGATGCCCAGTCAGAGTCACAGTAGGCAGAGATGGAGCAATCAGTGTTGTTGGAGAAAAATATTCTGTCTTGAGGTACCAGAGAAGATGGAAGGCTGCTATTAAGTGTGTATCTCTAGGTGCCTGCATGAACTGGCTGAGAAGCTGTACACTGTAGGCTATCTCAAGTCTGGTGTTGGTGAGGAAGTTCAGTTTGCCCACCAATTTTCTGTAATATGTAGGGTCTGGAAGAAGAGTGCCCTCATCAGCCTTCAAATTCATAGCAGGATCAAGGGGAGAGGACAAGCTGTTGTAAGCAAAACAATCATATTTCTTTAACAAGTCTAGGATGAACTTTCTTTGAGATATGATGACACCATCTGATTTGTAAAGGACCTATAGACCCAAGAAGTAGTGAAGTTTTCCCAAGTCCTTGATTCTGAATTGCTTGTCAAGAAATGACTTCAAATTGGCTATCTCCACTGAATCAGTACCAATGATGATAACATCATCAACATAGACAACTACAAGATAACGTGGGAAGAAGTTTTCTTGGAGAAGAGTGAATAATCATTCTCAAAGTGTTTGTACCCCATTGATGACGGGGCTTCAGTCAGCTTGGCATACCATTGCCTGCTGGCTTGCTCAGCTCGCACAAAGATTTGTCGAGTTTGCAAACCACCTTTTGTGGACCAGTCTGATCAATTAAGAGACATGATGGCACCTCCATGTACACTTCTTCATATAGATTACCATGGAGGAATGCATTATTTACATCAAGCTAAAATATATCCCAGCCTTTCTTCACAGCAACAATGACCAAGACTCTAACTGTTGTCATCTTGACGACAGGGGAAAAGGTTTCTGTATAGTCAACCCCTGCTTGTTGAGTATACCCCTTTACCACTAATCTAGCCTTAAATTTCTCTATACTACCATCTCCTTTGTGCTTAATTTTATAGACTCATTTGCAGCCTATTACCTGCTTTCCAGCTGGCAAGGGTACCAAGTCCCAAGTGTTATTGGCATAGAGAGCCTCAAACTCCTATGTCATGGCTGCTTTCCATGCAGGGCTGAGTGATGCCTCTCCATATGAAGATGGCTCACTATCATGACAAACAATTGTCACTAAGTGCTGACTTTCAGAACATAAGGCATCAGGTGTAATATAACTATGATTAGAGAAGAGTGCACTCAAAGGAGGTGAATCCTGAGGAGCATCAGGATGTGATGTGTTAGGCAAGTTATAAATGTAATCCTTAAGGTAAGTAGGACTTTTATGGGTTCTGCTGGTTCTTCTTAGTAGAGGTGTTTCTGATTGGGTAGGTGTTGGTAAATGAGGACTGGTAATCTCATGTGAAGTTGCAAGGATAGGAGAATGGTGAAAGGACTGAATGTCTGATGTGTGCATTGTGGTATCTTTAGCATATGAGGATTCAGGTGATTGATGCATGTCTGGAGATGTGATACTTGTAGAAGTTTGAACATGGAAGTGTGGACTGCTATTGTCAATGTGAGTAGGAAAGGAACCTGACTTGATGATATTATACAGGGAGACATCCTTAGACCCTAAAGAGAAAGGAAAAACACTTTCATAGAATACTACATCTCTAGAAACATGAATCTTTCTAGTGGCTAGGCTTAACACTTTGTATCCCTTTGTCCCAAAGGGATAATCCACAAAAACATGAGGAGTGTTAAGGGCTCAAATTTATCGCTGTGCGCCTTAGGTACAGTAGGATAACAAAGACGCCCAAAACTCCTCAAGTGAGAATAATCCTGCTTCTTGTGATGTAGGAGCTCAAAAGGACACTTGTTGTTCAAGTAGGTAGTGGGCAATCTGTTAATCAGGTAAGTTGTTGTCAAAATGCATTCTCCCCAATATTTGGTTGGTTATTTGGATTGAAACATGAGTGCCCTAGCAATTTCAAGGAGATATTTATGTTTCGTCTCTACTGCCCCCTTTTGTCGTTGAGTATAAAGGCATGTTTTCTGATGAATAATGCCTTTAGTTTGATAGAAGGTGGTGGCTTCATGACTAGTAAACTCCAGTCCATTATCAGATCTGATGGTTTTCACAGTGGTGTTAAATTGATTCTCAATCATGTTTACAAAGGCTTTAAGGGTTTGTAGGGCATTGCTCTTGTTGCTTAACAAATGAGTCCAAGTGGACCTACTGAAATCATCCACCAAGGTAAGGAAGTATTTGTAGTTGTTGTGTGTAGCAACATGGTAGGGGGCCCATATGTCAACATGTATTAATTGGAAAAATTGAGTAGAGGTGTTGGTTCTTTGTGGAAATAAGAGTCTGGCTTGTCTAGCCATGGGGAAATGGAACAAATGACGGGTTGTTTGGGTGAGAAGTTCACAGGCATTGAGGATATTCCTCTCATTTTGACAAAGGGAACATGGCCAAGCCTTTATGCCATAAGACATTTACATCATGTTTGTCTTACACATTTAAAGAGTCACTCTTATTATTGTGAATGGAAGTATTTACATTTGTCGAATGAGACTGTGAATGAGGAGGACTACTGAAGACTTCACTATTTGCACAAGTAGAAACAGAACAATTGCAACAAGAAATTGGCAGACTAGTATTTGAAACAGTACTTTTACCCTTCAGGCACCTGGAACAGAGGTAGTATAATCCCTCTCTGCTACTACCAATTACCTGAGGCTTCTTCACCGAAAGAGGCTGCAACAAACATAGTGTATCAGTGAAAAATATAATACACTTGAGATGTGTTGCAAGAGAATTGAAGGAAATCGGGTTGTACTTAAAGGATGGAACATAAAGGACTTTGTGTAGAGTAATTTTAGAGTTGAGTATCACATCTCCAAATTCAAGCACTTTCACCTTATATCCATTTGGCAGGCTTATCAACACAGGGTATGGTAATGTTGTTATATTACTAAGTGTAGTTTTATTTAAGGTCATACGTTTAGAGGCTCCTGAGTCTATGACCAAAAGTCAGTATTAGATTCGAAACATTTGCACGATGGTTTGTCAAAATCAATAGAATAAGTGTAGACCACAATACCTGCAAAGTTAACAGCACCACTGGTGATGTTGGCATTGATGGGAGATCCTCCTCCTGTCTGAAAATGCTGTAGCAAGTTCATTATCTGCCCATATTGCTCTTTTGTCAAGCTGACACTTTGATTCTCACCATGCAGGATTAGATCATCTTCCTTCTCATGCAGCAGATCAGCTGGGACTCCATGTACATTTGCCACAGCTCCTTTCCCTCTATTGAATTTGTGACCTTGAGTTCGACCTGAGTTATTTCCCTGGTTGAATTGTTGAGTGTTAGTGCGATTTGAATTCTGATTGTTGTGAGAATTGTTCTGGGGATATCCATGTAGTTTGTAACATTTGTCCTTTGTTTGGCCTGGCCTTATACGATAGTCATAGAATGGTCGACCCTTGTTGTTGGAAGTGTAATGTGTTTTGAAATTCCGAGCTCCAAAGGGATTTTGATGCTGTGAAGGTGCAACATTCACATGTAGTGAAGTAGACTCTAGGCTCAGCCGATTGTTTGGTTTGAACTCCCTTTGCTTTTCCTCTTGCAATAACAGGAGAAGGCCTATGCCAAGGATGGTAGGGGTTTCATCATTAAAATGCTTCCTCGCCTTGTTGTGTAGACCCCGTTCAAGCCCATTAGAAACTGAATAAGTCGTCTATCCTGTTCAGCCTTATGCTAGTTTCCTTTGACCCACACATACAAATACAGGTGCACTGGGATTTGGCACTGAGATTACTCAATTCTTCCCATAACTTCTTTCGTGTGTAATAGGCAGTGATGTCCAAAGACTCTTGAACAAGATCATTGATCTCCTTTTGAATCAGATACAGCTTCGCACCATTCGTTTGATCATATCGATCTTCCAATTCTCTCCATAATTCCACTGAATCATTAACATACTCAACACTGTCAGAAATTTCTTTTGCAAGGGAATTAAGAATCCAGGAAGTTACCATGTCGTCACATATCTCCCTTTGACGAAATTGAGGAGAATTGGGAGGAGGCTTCCTGCAATCCCCGTTTACGAACTCTAATTTATTTTTGACTGATAAGGCTCTCAATACGCTCCTCCTCCATGACCTATACCCAATTCCATCAAAAGGAACTGGTACTAGAGTCACTCGGGGACTATCCGAAGGATGAATGTATAAAGGACCGCTCACATTGATAACTGGTTGATCATTCCTTCTCGTATTGGGGGTAAGTTATTCGGTTTGATCGATAGCCATGAGGAAGCTCCAAACGATGAAATTGACAAATATTCTAAGCAATATAGTGAATAGACTGATCGATTTTGCAGAAAATACCTTCACTTCTCACAAAATTGCAGTTTGAAATTGTGAAATCAAACCCTAGCAGGTGACGGAGAGAAAGAGGCCTTGGTTAAAACTCCGGTAAATCTCAGGCGAACGTATTCCGCTGGCTCTGATACCATATTGAGATTGTTACATTGAACGGAGGATGAAGCTCGCACGGGAGCTTCAATGGTGATTAGAATATTCTAAGGAAGAGAAAATATCTGGGAGGAGAGCAGATGCAATGAAATTGTAAAATATGTCTCTCATTTATTCTCCACTATTACAATGTCTATATATATGTACACGTGTTGTAGCTGAAAGTAAAAGCAATGTAAAAGTAAAATTGCTGACTCAGCATATTACAATTAACTTAACTAACAATAACAAAAATGCTTATCTAACTAAACATATCTCAATAGTATATACGAAGTATTAATTCGCACCTCTAATACTGTTTTATCCAGGAATTGCGAAGAGAGAGAAGACTATATGCCCGTTTGGACATAAGAAATTTTTCACTTTTTTTCGAAAAATTTTCAATTTTTTTCGAAATCAACGTTTGGTCATAAAATTTCCAATTTTCACTTGAAAATACATTTTGGAATTTTTCGAAAATTTTAAAATCTCCCAAAAGCTGTTTTCAAAATTTTCACCCAGATCACTCACAAAAATTCAAAAACAACCCAAATTATATTCATGTCCGAATACAACTCTAATTTTCAAATACCATTTTCACTTGATTTTTTTTTCTTTATTTTTTTGAAATTTTACAATTCTTATGTCCAAACGCCCACTATATATAGTGAAACAAGATTTAGCATTTCTTTTTGGGATTGGAAATTCCTACTAATACAGAGCGATTTCTGTTTTAGTGAGAAACATATATTTAGCCACTTTGAGGGTTGAGCAACTTGTGTTTTTCACTACTACTTCAACTAATCCAATTCGCATCGCGCATAGCCTATTAAAAGAAAAATATTTTCTACCAATATTTTGCATGGATCAAACCGAGATCTTAGTTAAAAATAAAACAATTCTATCCATCTCTTCATCATATGTCCCTGATACAGCTAGACCTAAAAATTTGCTACATTGCTTATTGTCTACGTTATATAATCAAATCAATCAACTAACAAAAATCAGAATCATGACATCATAGAAGGGGTAATATCATTTTCTAATATTTTTTTTTAAAATCCCAGATATCGAACACTGCCTTCTTTTCAGAAATCTTGTAGTGTCCCTTCAAATCTTTATTGATAGCGGCAAACTCATAAGGGCCCACGTAACAAATCACAGTGGGTCCCTAGCCGTCCAGTCTCCATATTCCTTCCACGTATACCCATACACGTGGCGAGACACCAGCATGACATAAGCAACGTAAATAAAGACGACCTTTAACCAGAGATGTTGATTGATTCATAAAAAAAATCTAGATTATATAATTGCAAAGAATATGTTTTGAGTTACTTACACTATCTTATTTTTAAATCACAAATCTAATTTATTATAAACAATTATTTACTGTTACATATAATTTGGTAAAGTATGTTTTTTTTGTCTTCTAATATATCTTACACTCCATAAAGATATGATAACTGAATCTATAGGACAAAGTTCTAATAATGGAGAAGGGAAGGTGAACTGGAACACGTGTCAACAGATCAAAAGGCAGCTTGGCTTAGACAGCACGTGATGTTACCTTTTATGGGCAAATAGAGAAACGGTTGTTACTTTCCATTGCCGCCCCAGCCTCACATGATATTTGTTCATATCTGTCTCTGCATTTATATTATCACAGCCAAACCATGACACGTAGCATCTATGTTTTCTATTTTTATTTTAGTAATGTGAGGTTTGCATCGTTCCCTTTTTTCAGTCCATTTCAAAGTTCTCATTCATTGAAATTCTATATTCATCATTACATATTTATAACTCATTTTCACTTTAATTTGAACTCTTTTCTTTCTATTGAAATTTTGTGTTGTCTGAAAGATCCGAAATTGAATGATTTTGTCGTGCATGAATGACGTTGTTGTAAGGGAAGGGGGAAATTGAGAAAGAATACTGCATGGAATATCGAATCTCGACTATATGACAGAGAATCGGATAATACCCATTTTTTGACATTTTCTTGGGCAAACTATTATAAAATACTCTAACATGTATAAAGTCACAATAACGTTATTTTTTTAGAAAATTTCTCGTTTTTTATGAGTATTTCAAGTCATATGTTAAATAACATATAATATCCCAATATATGGAAAAAGAAGAAGAAAAAAAGAGTATAAAGGTCTGAAATTGCCCCTATACTATGGTATATAGTTCATATTTGTCCCCCGTTATACTTTTCGTCCAAATCAACCCCTACCGTTAACAAAGTATGTAAATTGCCCCTAGCCCAATGGATCTCCACTCTCACAGCCGACCCTTCTGTTAATTTGTCTATGTCAGCAGCCAAGTCAGCACCTAATATCTTATTTATTGCCTTTACTAAATTAGAAAATTAAAAAAGCAATTCTCCCACATTTAAACTAGTTTTGTTTTATAAACCACTCTGCCTCCCTCCTTTAGCAGTTGCCGACGCCGGAAACTAGATCCGTCATACCACCATTTTTAATCAAAATTCTTAACAATTTATTCTTCTATTTCTGATGTATTAATACATCTTTACCATTCTTACTAAAGTCAATGGAGATCTACCGAGCACCATTGCCATTCGAAGACATCTAATCCATTGCAATTTCCTTTCTAATTTCAAGCAATTTTCGTAAACTTCAATGAAATCACTACTGCAACTGAGCTGGGGTTTATGATCAACAAAAAATTGACTTCGAAAATATACTAGATATGGATTTGAACAGGCAAGAAAGATAAATCATGGTCAAAGAATTTCTGGTGGCTTCCGACGGTGTTCGGACGGATCTGGTTTCTAGTGGTGGGGATATTTTTCGAAATGTCGCAAATACAAGAGGAGAGAGAGAGATGGGGGTGGATCTAATCAGCTTCTAGGACAATCTGAATGTTCATATCCTTACTTGCAGTGTTTCTCCGGCTATGAGTAAACGGCGAGTTTATCCTCGTCGGCTTGTCGGAAATTTTGAACTTTTTGAAAAACATCAAAGGAGATGATGGTGGGGTGGGTCTAGGGCTGGGCAGTAGAAGGTGGACGGTGGAACAAATGTTTGTAAATGAATATAAAAGGCAACTGAAGAGATTGATTCATTCAAAAAGTTGGCTGCTCCAAGCTCCATTTCCGACCAAGGAAGGCATCCTTCTCTCTCCTCATCCCAATTATTTTGGTCAATAAAACATAGTGAGAATTATATTTAGGTGTTGACTTGGGTCTAATAGGTTAGTGGAAGTCCCAATTGGCAGCTGAGTTGGCAGCTGACTTGGAAAAAATAGATGGGTCAGCTGCCACTTGGACGGGGCGTTAGGGTTAGGGGTAATTGTATAGACTTTATTAACGGTAGGGTGGAAATTGAACGTAAAGTATAACGGGGGACGAACGTGCATGAATTTCAATAGTACAGGGGTAATAATAGCCTTTTTCCCATTATATTATTACTCGAAAGTGATACACGTACTTTTTTTTGGTTATCACCCGGTGTTCGGTACCTGCATTGGAGCCCGACTATATTCAGAATCGCGCAACGTAGAGCCCCATTCGGGAGGAAGCGCTCCCTACCACGAATTTTTCCATACTCAAAGTTCGAATCCGAAACCTCTGATTAAGGAAAGAGCAGTCTCATCCATCGCACCACGTCCCTGGGTGGTGATACACGTACTTGTTAAGATTGATATACAATTTGTTGTTAGTTTAGCACTAGGTCACAACTTGACACATGTATTGATTAGTTGCTTAGTTGATACATTGAACAACCATGACTAAAAGTTTGGACCACATAAGAATGCAATAATTTCTTCTCTTATTTTCGCATTTTCTTGACCAACATGAAGATGATTATGGTCTTATGAATCTAAAAGAGTTGGAAGAATAAAATGTTTAAAATAAAGGACCACTTCTACCTCAGATGATATTTCTAAATTCGTCTCTGCATCAGTCATTACAACAGCCGACCCATGACACGTAGCTACTGCATTTTATGTTAGGTTTCCTACCTTACCTTTTCTATGTCTATTTCAATTTTGTCCATTCACTGAATTCTCAATCATTAGATATTTAGAACTCAGTCGTTTCACTTAAAATTGAACTCCTTTCTCTCTCTATAGAACATTTGTTTTGTTTAAAAGGGCCCAATATTGAGGTATATAATTTAAAGTTCGCTCGCGCAACATTCATAAAGAATAAAATTACAATAAATTTTACCACCTTTATTTTTCTTTCATTTTGAATTGAGAGTTAGGGAAGGCAAAGAAAGAAAGCCGGGCAGGTGCTTTAAGAAGGCGCCCGTTGACTCTCCATAGGCAAAAAATTCCTAAATTTTTGAATTTTTGTTGTTAGTACTAAAATTATTATTACGAACAAATTATTCTAATTAATTTTTTACTATGCTCATTATTTTGTTATTCCAACATTATAGATGCTTAAATATTTTTTATTTTTTTAATATATAAATAATATTTATGTATTCTATAGGTAAGTCCATAATATAAATTAAAAAAAATTATAATATTAAAAGGTTTTAAAAAAA